TTTTGCTTAAATATATTCGTGTGATTACGAAATCAGGCAATTAGATTGAGTGCAATAAAAAATTAAATAAATTGAAAAGGAAATTTTTATCCTACTACCGAGATTTTTTATCGTTTGATTAAAATACACATTTGTATAAATATGTGTATTCACATAAAAAAACCAACCGAAATAAAATTTTCGGTTTGGCTTTTTTATATGTGATAGGGATTATAGTACCCACCCGGTCCGATTTGGGAAAGACCCATAATACTAAGTTGGCAAGGACAAAAGACCGTCCGACTATAGGCTCGACCGGTTACGGGGTCGAGCGGTTACGTGATCGACAGTCTATGTGGTCGACCGGCCCAGTGGTCGACCCATGCGACCAAAACCCAGGGGTCGAACGCGTAGGGAGGGTCGAACGTCGATTAAGGGCCAGCAGAGAGACTTGATCGGCCCAAGGGGGTCGAGGGGCTCGACCCGAAGAGAGGGAGGGTCGAATAACTCGACCCGCTAGTCGGAGTGTGACGCGGGTTGAAGGACAGCAATAAGACCAAGTAAGCTATGACTAGTCAACGAACATTCTAGAACGTATAAGTCGGATGAGAGCACTATATAAAGGAAAGACCGCAATAATGGTTGGTAAGACTTCATTAATATCATTACTACAACATTTATTACATACAACTCTCTCTAAAAATCCGAGATCCTAACTTGGGCGTCGGAGGGTTTGCGCCGGAGAAATTCCGGCGCGCTTTCAGGTACCGGAGAACACGCAAGCTTGGGCCGGACCGAATCAAGCAAACCACGCCATAACCGGGAAGAACCTTCCGTAAGACCGGAGCCACCGATCTCAGACCATATCAAATTGGCGCCGTCTGTGGGGACCCTAGCTCAACCGACGTTGATCTGGTGGTATCTCATACATCACAACCGGAAAACAAGTGGAGAAGCAAGGATTGAAGAAGATGGTGGGAGAAAGAGAGCGTGAACAACACGAAGAAGACAACTCTTGGTTGCACAAGCGCCCTGTAGGAGCTGGGCCGCCGCCGGGGTGGATATCGGGTGGAAACACGCCGGCGACCCCAACCCTTGCTGCTAGGCGGCCGCCGGAGCAGTTAGAGATAGCGGCGAGTAGCCCGACACATGCGGGCGTGATGCAAACGCCGACGAGGCCGAGTGCGAGTTTACCACTCCAAGAAGTAGGCGGAGAGGAGCTGCAACTCCAAGGAGGGGCGGCGGAGGAAGCCGTCGCGAATACCCAGCTTTCCATCCCGGAGCAGCCCATACAAGTCACGCCCATCGCGCTGGAAAGAATGATAGCGGCGGCGGTGGAGGCTAGACTGGCGTCGGTCTCACCTCCGGGGAGGTTGATGACGACAAGACCGGAAGCACAGGGCTTAGAGGCTCGACCCTCTACCCTGGCGCGCGAAATGGTGACTCGACCCGAAGTGCTGGGGCGCGAGGAAGTAGATCGACCTGTGAGGCCAACCGGAGGTGGGGGCGAGCATGAGCCGGAACAATCGGTCCACTCGTCAGGAGCTCCACTACAACATGCAAGGGACTCGATCATCGAGCGCATGGCGGAGCAGTTGCGCGAACTCCAAGAAAAGGTCGAAGGACGTCGAGGCCCCTGTCGTGCAGGTCACCCGTTCGCGGACGAAGTGTTGGGCGCGGATTTGCCTCTAGGGTTTCGGGAGCTCACCATGTCATATGATGGCTCTACAGACCCAGCTCGACATCTCAGGAGCTTCGAGAACATAGCGGTGCTACATAGGTATAGTGACCCGGTATGTTGCAGGGCCTTTCTCACCACGCTGAAGGGTGCGGCCCAAGACTGGTTCCACCAACTGGCGCCCGGGGTTGTCCAAGATTTTTGAAGCTTTAGTTCGTTGTTCACCAACCAGTTCGCAAGCGCGAGGAAGCATGAGAAAACATACTTATCCCTGATAAACGTACAACAGAGGGAAGAAGAGACGTTGCGATCCTACATAGCCCGTTACACCCGCGCATGTGTTGAGGTACCAAGTGCTACGGAAGAGATAAAGGCCGGTGGATTAACTAGGGGATTGCGACCTGGACCCTTTCGAGATTCCTTATCCAAGAGACCGGCCCAGAGTTATGACGAATTGTTGCAGAGGGGGGGGGCAAATACATGAACATGGAGGAAGCGCAAGCGGACTTCCTCATACAGGACAGGAGGGAGAAGAAGCAAGAGCCACGGCCGCCTCGGCCGGATGATAAGAAAGGAGGGCGGGAGAACAAGCGGGTAGACGAAAGAGGATGGAAGCCGGGCCAACGGTTCGACCGCTACACGCCCCTAACTACACCAAGGGGGCAAGTGTTCGCAGTACTGGAGAAAAGAGGTAGCTTGGGAATGTTAGACCGACCTCGGCCCCTGCCAAGGAGAAATGGAGTGCCCATAGGACGGCCGGAGTTCTTTTGCCGTTATCATAGAGAGTATGGCCACACGACTGATGCCTGTAAAGAGCTGAGGGACGAAGTAGAAAGGCTAATATGAGCAGGGCACCTGAAGGAGTTTGTGCTAAAGGATAAAGACCCGGAAGGAGGGAAGAAGGAGAATGATAAACGGGGGTGAGAGGACCGTGAGGAACCTGATAAGGACCAACGAAAAAAAGGGGTGATCCATATGATTTCCGGGGGTCCGACAGATGGAGATTCAAACCGGGCAAGGCGGAGGCATGTGAGAGCAGCGGAGGAACATATGAGAGAGGAGGTCCAATTGGCGGAGGAGATACCTCTTATCCACTTTGGCGCTGCGGACCTAGGGGGTGTTGCGGCACCCCACAATGATGCGCTAGTAATAACAGCGGAGATAGCAAACTTTGATGTGGAACGCGTCTTTGTGGACACGGGAAGCTCAGTCGACATACTTTTCAAACACTGCCTCGATAAGATGAAGCTAGACCTACCCCTGCAGCCGGTGCAAACGACCCTATATGGCTTTAGTGGTGCGGAGGTAGTCCCCCTTGGCGAAGTCGTTCTCCCCGTAGCATTGGGGGAAACACCCCTAAGGCAGGTGAAGATTATCAAGTTCTTAGTTGTAGAGACTGGGTCAGCATACAACGTAATTTTGGGGCGGCCAAGCCTTAATATCTTCAGGGCAGTAGTATCGACCTATTGCCGGAAGTTGAAGTTCCCCGTGGGAAGCAAAGTAGGAGAGATAAAGGGCAATCAAAAGATGGCGAGATCCTGCTGTCAAGTCACCATCAAAGAGGGCCAGTCGGGAAAAAGGAAAGCCGAAGAGATCGTAGGGCAAGCTGAAAAGCAAGTGAAAGTGGACATCGCCACCCGAGATGAGCTACTCGAGATTGAGCTAATAGAAGGAGTAGAGGGGAAGACGACCCGAGTAGGAAAAGACCTACCAGATAACATCAGGAGAGAGCTGGTGCGAACGCTGAGGGAGTTTGTAGATATCTTTGCTTTTAGCCCCGAGGAGCTCACTGGTATAGACCCCCGCTTGGCGGTCCACCGCCTCAATGTGGACAAGAAAATGAGGCCTGTGAAGCAAAAACGCAGACACTTCGGGCATGAGCTCGACCTGGTCATTGAGAAAGAGGTAGAAAAATTGTTGCGGGCTGGACATGTTAAACCGATCCAGTTCCCGGAGTGGCTGTCCAACGCGGTCATGGTGAAGAAGGAGCTGGACAAGTGGAGGATGTGTATGGACTTTCGCGACCTAAACAAAGCCTGCCCCAAGGACCATTACCCGCTACCAAGGATCGACCAGCTTGTCGACTCGACGGCGGGGTGCGAACTTCTGAGCTTGATGGACGCCTCGCAGGGGTATCACCAAATCCCATTAGCAGAGGACGACCAAAAAAGAGTAAGCTTCGTCACGGCCAAGGAGACGTACTGCTATGTGGTTATGCCCTTTGGTCTGAAGAATGCAGGGGCTACATATCAACGCCTAGTCGACCAAATGTTCAAAGGCCAGATCGGACGTAACATGGAGGTATACGTTGATGACATGCTAGTAAAGAGTAAGCGAGCCGTCGACCACGTTGAGGACCTGAGAGAGACTTTTACCACCCTGCGGGAGTACGGTATGAAGCTGAATCCAACCAAATGCAAATTCGGGGTGAAGACGGGCCGATTTTTGGGATATGTTGTCACCGAGAAGGGGATCGAGGTGAACGCGGCCAAGGTGCAGGCGGTCTTGGAAATGAATCCACCCAGAAACCGTCGTGAGGCCCAAGTGTTGGCAGGGCGATTGGCAGGACTCAGTCGATTCATAGCCCAAGCAGCCGAGAAGGGATTCCCTTTCTTCAAAGCTTTGAAAAAAGGGGCGAAGTTCGAATGGACGATGGCTGCGCAGGAGGCGTTCGAGCGACTCAAAGAGTTCTTAGCAGAATTACCCCTCTTATCGAAGCCGGAACTGGGGGATGAGTTGGTGTTATATTTGTCGTAGGGCGCGTGGCGATCAGCTCGGTACTATTAAAGGAGGAAGATCGACAGCAGAGACCCGTGTATTATACGAGCCGACTGCTGCAAGGGGCAGAGACCCGTTATTCGGACATAGAGAAGGTGGCACTGGCGTTGATTACCACGATCCGAAAGCTAAGACCATATTTCTTGAACCACAAGGTCGTTGTCCGCACTAACATGCCGTTGGGAGATACGCTGGGTCGACCCAATGTGTCGGGCCGACTCACCAAGTGGGCGGTAGAACTTGGCGAGTACGATATAGTGTTCGAGCCCCGAAGGGCCATAAAAGCTCAAGCC